ATGAACACCCGCACGCATACATGAACGCACGCACGCACGCACGCATGAACGCCCGCACGCATACATGAACGCACGCATGCACGCACGCATGCATGAACACCCGCACGCATACATGAACGCACGCACGCACGCACGCACGCCCGCCCGCCCGCACGTACATATGAACGCACGCACGCACGCACGCACACATGAACGCACGCACGCACACATGAACGCCCGCACGTACGCACGCACACACACATGAACGCACGCACACATGCACGCCCGCCCGCCCGCACGCACGCACACATGAACGCACGCACGCACGCACGCCCGCCCGCACGCACGCACGCATGCACGCACGCATAAACGCCCGCACGCACGCACGCACGCATGAACGCCCTCACGCACGCACGCATGCATGCATGAACGCACGCACGCGTGCTTTGTGCTGGCGGCCACGTCGCCGTGCGATCCGCTCACATGCATGGCTTCACGCGTCCATCCAATCTTCTCATTCAATATGCAGCGAGGTAAAGATGATGGCATCTGCATTCAATAAGCATCGTCAAAATAGCGCAAGCAGGGACAGTGAGACTCGCGGTACGGGAGGGAGGGAGGGAGGGAGGGAGAGGAGGAGGAGCAGAAGGAGGAGGAGAAGGAGAAGGAGAAGGAGGAGGCGGAAGAGGAGGAAGAGGAGGACGAGGAGGAAGAGGAGGAGGAGGAGGAGAAGGAGGAGCAGGAGCAGGTGGATGAGCAGGAGCAGGAGGAGCTGGAGGAGGAGGACGGGAGGTAGGGAAAGAGGCGAGGAGAGGGCGGCAAACAAAAGTGTAATTTATAAAGCGTCAATCACTACTACCCTGCGCATCGCTCGCATACGCCGACTCAACGTGATCCACGAAGGCTGGAGGCGGGCGTGGTGACCCCCACCCCCTCCCCCTCACAACCGCTCCCCATCCGCAGCTTCGGGACCACCCTCCCCCATGAACGTCTCCCCCTCTCCCCGCGTCGCACCCCTTTCCCCGGCGAAAACTTGTCGCACGGGTAGAAGGTACAGGACGGAAGATCAATCTTTTCGCATCGCACAACGCGCGCAGGCGTTGATTTGGCATTAATCGAAAAGCCCGCAGCCCATAGAAATACATCTATCCATCCATCCATACATACATACATACATGCATTCACACACACGCGCACACACACGCGCGCACGCACGCACGCACGCACACACACACACGTGATGACGCGCCCGCTACCCGTGAATCAATGCTCGGCTGCTCGCGTCAGTACAGATGGCGCCACCAATGCCGCCCGTCACCGCGAGGTGGCGGAGCGCCATCTTAGGAGCGCGATCTCGATGTGAGGGTGTCTGTGAATGCAGGTCAGAGCGCGTACGAGGTTTTTAAGGCGCGCGCTGAAAGAGTTGGCAATTGGCTAATGCATCGGCAGCTGACGCGTCTGTGAGAAAGCGAGGAATGTTTTCCGAAATCCGGCTCTGTGTAGGGGGGGGGGGTCGAGTGCGTGTGAGAGAGGGTGAAAGAGGAGAGGAAGCAAGCGAGAGAGAAAGGAGGGAGAGAGAGAGGGGGAAGAGAGTGAAAGGGAGAGAGAGAGAAAGAGTGAGAGTCAATGACACACACAGAGAGACACACAGAGAGAGACACAGAGAGAGACAGAGAGAGAGAGAGAGAGGATGAGAGAAAGAGAGAGAGAGAAAGAGAGAGTTCATAGCCGATCTAGCGCATCACTTCACAATTTTTTTCCGCCAAAAACCGGAGTGGCAAGATAGCAGCCTGCTCACGTGCGCGCCAAAAATCCCATTAGCGGGGGACATGTAAGACGAAATCTAAACCCGGCCCCGGCATCTGCTCAAACCCAAAACAGAATCGCATCCCGAACACATCAGCTTCCTGCTGATAAGAAGTGAATAACTCTTTTTCGGCGCAGTTGTTAAATCCCCGTTTGCAATATCCTGCGCAATATTGAAGTTATGTGTGCACACACACTCTCTCTCGCGCGCGCGCACAAAAGCACAGCCCGCTTGTCAACAGCCTGACACGTCCATGGGCAGGCATTCTCTAACGCGCTCGTCGGCACACAGACATGATAGCGACTCGTTAGACAAAGAACGTCTCAGCATCCACTCCCGCGAGTCTGTAAAGGTCACGTGAAATCATTAGCACATTCAAGTGGCTGCTTCGACAGTTTACGAAAGACATGCGATCAGGCTTAACACTCGGTCGTTTCACTGCGAGAATTAAACGGAGAACCGCCCGACAGTATTTACAGCAGTATATGCATAAAGACATTAATAACGGTCTTACACGCATTTGTGTGTGTGTGTGTGTGTGTGTGTGT